TTTAATTAAATTACATAAGAATAAATTATTCCAAGTCTATATTCACTTTGCGTTACGATTTTCCTCACTACCGTCACTTCGTGAAAACAAGGACGAATATGTATATATTACATATATTTTACTAAAGGCGTTATTAGAGGGACATTTGGAGTGAACAATTTAGTCATTAAGTAGACATTGTCATTAGGAGGACAATATAGTGTCCTCTTAACGTTTGTTACGGTCTATTTCTCATAGAAGGCCCAATTTGTTTATATATCTCTCTCTATATATGTAATTTCACTAAAAGCGTCATTGGAGGGACATTTGGAGTGAAAAATGTGTCATTAAGTAGACATTAGGGTTAGGGTTAGGGTTAGAGTTAGAGTTAGGGTTAGGGTTAGGGTTAGGATTTTTATGATGTCCACTTAATGTACCATGTAGGGTTATATATATATATACATTTCAATATATACCTAGTTCTTTCAACGTTACTTAAGCCTATTCGTGTTTGATTATTTTGTTTTCACTACTCTGAGATTAATTGAATATATTCGTACTGTTTTTATTGATGCATTGACATAATATCAGTTTTTGTTTCTATGATTATGTTTTTCTAATATTTTCTACATTTATATGCTTTGTCGTTGCATTTGTATGTTTCCAACCTAGTCTTCATGATAATGTATATTATATTTGCTTATCTTTTTTTTTCTTTTTTTCATCAATATTGTCATCGGGAATGCAGCCTTGTATGGATATTTTAAAGTCTGAATAAATACACATATAAACACAAATTTGTCATAGTGATTATTGAATACATGACTTCTCCGAAAAGATTTGCTGCAAACTATACTTTCCTAATAGAGGGAGAATGAACAATTCACCGTTTAAAGATTCAAGATTTGTTAATAGCTAACGATAACAATGGTATTTAATTCATAATAACGAGGTTCCGTTTTTTTACCGGATTTATTTGTTCCCCTAAAATTAGAGGTAACTTTATTATGACTGTGTGTGTTTTGTTTTCTAAATTCTACGAAGCATCTAAGTATATTTGGTATAGGTCACGCAATATTGAATATTCTCATTTCGTTTTACCATTAACATGAATTACATTCCGACCATAATTAACAACTGTCAACTACTCTCAAGAATGCAAAAATATCCGAGAAGTAGACAGGTAAAAGTTTAAATAAAATTGGGCAAAAATAAGAAAATAACAATAAAATCAAAAATTGCAATTGCTACACGAATGGGCACCTTCAATTATCTGCCTCGCTAACGCCACTTTGATGTAGTGCCGCAAGGAAGAAGGCACTTGTGAGAAAAACATTTATTACTACTTTTGTACACGGCAAACGTGAATGTTTTCCGTACATACGTCACAATTAACTGACCAAAGTGCCCTTCTTACATTCGCATATTTAGTTCATACAGGTGATTCGGAGGCATATTGTGTGTGATCAAATCTGTGCGATGGTTCACTTGGACAGCGCCCTCTACATTTTCATGTTATGCTCAACATAAGGTTGTGTACATTCACATTTTATTTGTGAACTTGTCATCGAAATATTTCATACTATACTCAAGTAACAATGCATGACTTGAATTGCTATAGTAAATTTTGGAGCCGAAATGATTTTTAAATACCATTTATAAACTTCTTTTTTGGAAATTCAGCTCTTTGGAAGTGTCAGTGTATGAGGCTACTAATAATGTGTAGGTAATATGGCTTTCGTGATAATTCGGCATGAACACAGTATTTTAGCAGATAATAATTATATTTCTACTAATTTTCATTTTTTTATATATGAAAAAGCTGACATTTTCCGTAAAAGTACACATATCTGACGTAATCGCACAAGTCACAAACGATGCATCCTCGTTGCAGTGTTATTGGCACATGAACTTAGATGTATGGGAGCATAAAAAAAAAAATACCCTGCGTGTTTCACTTTGCCCCGGGTTCCCCTACATTAATGCAAACATTTGTTTAAATATAAAATGGATGTAGTACCTTTTGGAACCAAGCTCTTCATTTGATCCCGTTGTTATCAATTTATCAACAACAACAAAACAACATTATTTGATTTTATTTCTGCATTTTTCCAAATATAATATAACTGAATAAGAAAGAACATATAAATGTGAGATATAATACAACATATACAAACAATAATTTCTTCATGTCAAAATGTTTTTTTACATAATATATGTACACTGTTGGTCATAATGGTGGAATATTTATTTTTACCCCAGTTTAGGGAAGGATTTTAAAAAATAAATTATTTCTAATAGATCTAGATAATGGCATACATTCTCAGATTTTATTGGATATTAATTTGCGAGTGTTTGTTTTGCGTAACTGCTTAATCATATGTGTGCTACTATGCTAATCAGCTAAGGGACCTACGTCCTTAAGTCATAATTGACAGTAATGAGGATTAATGCCTCACAAAAGGGCACTAATATATAGCTGATCGACACGATTTTTATCCTGTGGCCTCACAGTAACGAGGCCATTGCTTAGCCCCTGAATAATGACTGTGCGCAGTGTTTGCTAGGGTACGCGGCCCCTTCCACAAATCCCCCAAAACGAAGAAAATGCAATAAATTGTCAAAAATTCATTACATTTTCCCCCGGCCCCCAACAGGAAAAATTCCTCTGTAGGGCCATGCATTATGGTTCGAGGCATGGCCACACAGAGGAATTTTTCCTGTAGGGGGCCGGGGGAAAATGCAATGAATTTTTGACAATTTATTGCATTTTCTTCGTTTTGGGGGATTTGTGCAAGGGGCCGCGTACCCTAGCAAACACTGCGTACAGTCATGATTCAGGGGCTAAGCAATGGCCTCGTTACTGTGAGGCCCCAGGATAAAAATCGTGTCGATCAGCTATATAAATTCCCTTTTGTGAGGCATTAATCCTCATTACTGTCAATTATGATTTAAGGACGTAGGTTCCCTAGCTGATTAGCACAGTAACACAAATATGATTTAGCAGTCACGCAAAACAAACACTCGCAAATTAATATTCAATAGAATCTGGGAATGTATGCCATTATCTAGATCTATTAGAAATAAATAATTTTTTAAAATCCCTCCCTAAACTGGGGTAAAAATAAATATTCCACCATTATGACCAACAGTGTACATACAATAACGAAACTTAATATTTCCATAACATATTATCATAAATTTAAAGTATTATCCGAACTATTCTGTTGGAAAAGTGCAGGAGACCGCAATTATAAGCAAAGCTTGACAAGGATGGCGGCCTCAAAAACAAAGACAAACAAAAAATCTTAAGGTAAAACTTTAAATAAAAAAGTGTTTATACGATCTTTATATCAGACCCGCGGTTTAATTTTAAAAATTTCTCTGAATAATCGCTTAAATACTTCTTTAACAACATAGATATTGCTAAAATAATGAAATAAACTCTTTTTGTATCATTGTTTCTCTCTTCTCCCCATGTCTTAGAAATTGATTTAATGTCTGTCGTTAAAAACCTTCTAACAAGTATTTTAAAAGGTTTTGTAAGAATGAATGGAGGGGAATTAATTTCAAGGAGTGACCCCCTTTCGTAAAGAGGAGTAATCATTTCTATTCCTTGGAGGGGGGGGGGGTAGAAATACCCCCCCCCTCCTTTCCATCCGATTTCATTTTATCCAGAGTTATTCCTTCTCATTAAGTAAGAGGTAGGTAGATTATGCCTGTGTTTTTTTATCCGGTGACTGATATAGTTTGCTCTGAATAGGTTAGTACTGGAGTCAAATTTAAATTAAAAAAAAGAGGAAACGTCAATGCATACACGAATCAATGTCTGTAACGCAGTATGCCAGAGAACAAAGTTTACCTCCGTTTACATTAAGTTTCATTGTTTGCCTGTTGGGGGTTGAGGAGACGAGGAGTGAAAGCGAGAGAAAGAGAGAGAGAAAGAGAGAGAGGAGAGAGAGAAACCGGGGAGGGGTAAGTGGTAGGAGGAGAGAGAGAGAGATTTTAAAAAATACGGAGAAAGAGGGAGAACATAGTAGAGATATAAGAGAGTTAAGGGAGGGAGAAAGGGGGACAAGCAGAAAGAACAATATAAAGGAAGAGAGAGAGAGAGAGAGAGAGAGAAAGAGAGATAAAAGGGGAGAGAGAGAAAAAGGTGTGATTGCTAGGTGGTAGTTGGAGGGAGACAGAAAAAAATCATAGAGAAAAAGAAAGGCAAATATGAAATGAAGAATAGATGGGAAAAGGAGAGAACGGGAGCACTGATAAAATAACGAGATGAGAAAGGAATACAAGAGCGAAACAGCTAATGGGAGAGAAAGAGGGAGGGGGGGGGGTGCGGGAAAAAAATAGAGGTGCTACAAAGACATGCAGTGAGAATATAAGAGAAACAGCAATGGATTTATAGAATAGAAAAACAAATGAAGAAAAGAAGTGATAGAGCAGCAGGGAGAGAGAGAGAGAGACGGATATAGAGAGAGAGACACAGACAGAGAAGGGGTAAGAAAGCGATAGAGAGAGACAGAGAGAGACAGAGAGAAAGAGACAGAGAGAGACAAAAAAAGGAGCGAGAGAGAAAATGCCTTGATAGCTAGGTACGTAGCTAGGCTTTTCTTTTGTTATTTATTTGGAAATGGTTCACTGGTTGTGCAAGCAAATATTCATACTCGCATTAAGTCAAGTGAAAAGAAAAAAATATATAGCGTATGAGTAGGGATAGGAGATGCTGTGTAAATGTTTTGGATCCCGATTCAAAGGAAAATCATTTGCGTGCACTGATGCAAAGTAGCTAGGCCTGACCCTTTCTTTGCATTGGTCGATGCGTTAGCTAACAGTGGTTACAACATAAATCAATTCTCAAAAATTGACAACTGGCTTATTGAAGGTGTTGCTACACGTTTATTGAACAGGAAGGCTCGCAAAACTTTATCTTCGACTTCCAAAATAAGAGCATAGAAGCAAAATTCACTATGGGGGGAAAAGCATCGAAAAAGCGTAGTGCGGGATCTTCAACCCAACAGTCGGGGTCGCTCCCAAAGTGGAACCGTTAGCGTCGGGTGATCAAAGTCAAGCTGGGCAGTCCACCAAGCCAGAGAGAGTTGATTCAAACACGCGTGGAGATTACACTGAGAGTTCCGAAGCTTCGACGCAGACAGAGCCGAAAAAAGTGGTCAAGGCGAGTAACGCACACGAGGAAGCCGCGGTTACAACCGCAACAGAGAAGAAGACGCCCTGTGAACCTCATGATGGTGAAGGGATGGTAAGTGGTAGGTCGACGAGTTTTAATTCTGTTATAAGTCAGCACAAACATATTTCTCCTATGAACAGAGGAATACGCGGTGTAGGTGACCGCAACACGGCGGTAATCACCCCGGTAAAGTGCTGTTGAAACCGTAAGTGACCGGGAAGACCTTGTTTTCCTTTAATGCAGGATGACCAATAACGGTAGAGTTTGTTTGTTTGCTTGTTTTATTGTTTGTTTGTTTAGATAGCCTGTGTATGTTTGTAAGTAAGCAATCAAGAAACAGTAGTTGTATGGAATAATAACACTGCGGTAAGAATTGCGGTGAATAGCTAAAGGCCCAAAGTTACAAACAAAAACGTGAAGAGAGAGTGGGAATATGATAGCGTTGAAAGTGTAATAGATATATTTCAATCTCTGTATTCACCAATAGCGATGAATACATATAAATATATATGCTCATATATTAATATCCCCCCCCCCCTCTACCCTCACAGCATCTCCCTTGATGCGTTAGCCTGGTAGGCAGGGTGCGTTTCCAAAGTTTACAAAAGCGAGAATATTTTGAACCCAACCTTGACCTTAAGTTGCAGTCCCGTACAAGGTCCTCTATCATTACTCCATATGTAATTAGTCTGGCTGTATGCACCTGTGTCATAAAACTAAATTAGAACAACAACAGAAAAGAGGAAGGTCGCCTAAAGGAAGGAGGAAGTAAAGAGAAACCACGAATCGATCCTCCATGGTCGTACTTTATTTGTTTGTTATTCTGCTCCAAACGAAGCGTCATTTCCCTGACGTAGCACTGCGTTAGCGACTTTCAACCGATGAACTTTCAAAAATCTTCTCTTTTTTTTTCTCCGAGGGAGCCCAGCGACCGCGCCAGAAAATTAGCATTCTGTATTTTCAACTGTTTTGTCCTCAGTCGTTTCTTCGTCCTCTAAATTGGCTGAGACAGATCGTTAATTTAGACGATTTTTTTTAGCGATTTTTAAATATATCTGGGGGGAGGGAGACGACCCCTTTTACATATTTACCAGCTGGAGACATCCCTCATTCCCTTTGAATCACCGACCCTCCAGGTACTATTGAGCATTCGCTTTCTCTATCACTAACAGAAAGTTTGAACTACACACACACACACACACACACACACCACAGAAAAAGATTACACTACACACAATCAAGAAAGAAAGTTTACACTACACACATACACTCAAGAAAGAATGGTTACACTACACACATACACTCAAGAAAGAAAGTTTACACTACACACACACTCAAGAAAAAAGAGTACACTACACACACAATCAAGAAAGAAAGTTTACATTACACACATACACTCAAGAAATAAAGTTTACATTACACACATACACTCGAGAAAGAAAGTTTACACTACACACATACACTCGAGAATAAAGGCTTACCGACAGTACTCCTTTTCATGACTAACTACTCCCCCCCCCCCCCCCCCTCTTCTTTTTAAAATGGTGCAACCGTAAACCTACTGAATATCTATTTTGTTGTTAACATTTTCAGATCGAATCTTCACATGGGCGTGCGTTTCGGGAGATCTTTGTCCAGTATATTCCTGGTAAACCTCTTTCTCTCACGGAGTTTGGAGCACTTCTTTATTCTCGTCAGGGTGGTCATGAGTTCAGGGCCCTAGATGGGACCGGGCTGGCAAGAACTGTTGGGTTGAGGTAAATAGGTTTTATAACTTTTTTATTCAATTTTATTTTCAGTTTCTTGTCTCATATTTCACATATATTTCACATTTGGCAATCATGATTTCACGAAATGAATGATACAAATAAAAGAGAATTATATTAACAGAAACGTTACAAAAAGTACCTCATATCACTATGTTTTATTCAATTTTATTTTCAGTTTCTTGTCTCATATTTCACATATATTTCACATTTGGCAATCATGATTTCACGAAATGAATGATACAAATAAAAGAGAATTATATTAACAGAAACGTTACAAAAAGTACCTCATATCACTATGTTTTATTCAATTTTATTTTCAGTTTCTTGTCTCATATTTCACATATATTTCACATTTGGCAATCATGATTTCACGAAATGAATGATACAAATAAAAGAGAATTATATTAACAGAAACGTTACAAAAAGTACCTCATATCACTATGTTTGAACACACTAAATTAATAGCCTGAACTCAAACCAAGAGTGATAAATTGAGGGATCTCTGGCTCTGATGAAAGCTATGATTGTGAGTTACAGGCCCCAATGATGAAAATAAAACGTACCAGGTATATATTATGTAAATAATTTATATGTCTATATAATTTTATATATACAGTGCGTCCCAGAAAAAAACGAAACTGAGAATTATCGATGTTTTATCATAACTTAATCACAATTATTAATGACACATATTTGTAAAGCTTAGATCCTTCTCTTTCATTTGATGCAACTCATATGATGCATATTTCAAGCAAGAGTGATTAACAAAAATTTAAAGAGAGGGTACCAAAATGTCATTTGGCGGGCGATATGAATATCAAAGAGAAAATTAAATTTCTAAAAAGTTCACTTTTTGCCCTTTCAATTGACACTTCAATCAGGAAAAATGAGCCAGGAAAAACAAAGTTATGTTTATTTAAAATAATGTTTGTGTTTCCATAAAACGAATTCGTTTTCACTGGTTGCCTGCCGTAGCAACAAACAGAGTTGACAAAATACTTAACTCCGTTTCGTTGATGATCAGCCATGCATGGAGTCTTTTGTCTTCTTTGAAGGCAGCAAGGCTTGTCTCGCCATAAGGCAAAAAAAAAAAAAAAAAATTGGTTGCCCTCGATTGCTTCTCTGGGGTAGGGGCGGGCGGGCTGATTTGTTATTGTTTTGTTTTGTTTTAATTTCATTTTTGTTTGTCTTTATTTGAAATTCCCCCCACCCCATTTTTGTTTTATTTTTTTATATTTTTTTTTAATGAGTATTTTTCCATAACAAAATCAAAAATCATTGGGATGTCAAGGATTTAAACAAACAAAGTCTATAAAACACTTGAATATGGTAAAAGACTAGTTGAATTTACTATGAATGTCAAGACCAACACAAAGAGTATTTCGGGCTTTGAAATACAACACCTTTTAATTCCCCACTGTGCTACTTATAGCTACTTGCGCCCTCTATATAGCAAACAATGCCTAATCAGTGACCATTGGTCCCCCATGATCCTCTTTATATAATGTTAACTGAGAGCTGATTGAGATAACCACCTGTCCAGTGACCTTGCAGGGTGGTCAAATCCCTCCTGTAAACTAGTACAGATTGGGCTTAAAATGAGTTTAAGAATGCTCAGAATCTGATTTGAATAAACGTCATTTTGACATAGAAAAATAAAAATGGTAAGTTTAATAAATACAGAATTGCGTACTGAAAAGACCAAACTGGCAACGGGACGCATTTTGATCCTTGCAGAATGCATAAAATGGTATGTTTTCATTTAAGATTGCTCCCCCAACCAAAAATGTTTTTTTTTAAACTCGAGCGGCCCGAAAATGAAGAGTAGGCTGTCGAGGACAACCAAATGATTTTGTTGTTGGCCTAATGTATCTCCTCCCATAACGTCATTGCAGAAACTGTGATGAACTACTAAGCATCAATAACCTGCAGTCAGACATAAGCAGTGCTAACCAACTAGCAGTTCTAGAATGTTTCTCAGATATTGGCACTCAGATTGGTTTGGTAAGAATACATTTTATTTTATTCACATTATTGTTAGTTGATCGGGCATTATTATTTACTAAGATCGTTGTTATTATAATGATTACAATTCCCAATAAACAGAACACCAAAAAGTAACCTCTTTTGGGAGTGTATTTTAAGTGATTTTAAAGTATAGTGCCTTTTGAACTAGATTTAAACGTTATCGACACGTGCCTTCATTTAAACAAAAAAGGTAATCCTGTTCACGTCTTCATCTAACCTAAAAACCACCAGTTTATCACGCGACTGGAGTAACGTGATTCCACTTACCTCTGTAAATCAAGTGTTTATGACCAAATAACCACTTGACCAAGCAACGATTTTTTTGTCAGTTAACCGATGGTGGCGATAAATACGTATTCATTTGGTCTTGTAAGCACCTTTATTGACTGGTTTCACAGGTTATCCAAGGTTGATGGTAATAATCACGTTACTTACACCGGCTAATCGTCTTATTGTTCTGTCCGTGAATCTCTGGTTATATTCAAGTAATTCTGAGGTGTCTTACACACCTCTTTAAAAGGTTTCAAAGTTACCATAAATTTCTTGGTTATGATCACGTGGCTCAAGCTGATTACTAATCTAAGCTGTGAAAACGTGATATGTAGGTGTGAAAATAAGTAATTATTAAGTTTTTTAAAACACCTTTTTAAATGGTAGTCAAAGTTGCCATAAGTTCCGCGGCGATGATCTCGTGACTCAAACGGATTATTGATCTAAGCTGGTCATACGTGACTTTTAGGTGTGAAAAATTAGTCATTATTAGGTGTCTTAAAACACCTATTTAAATGGTTTCAAAGTTACCATAACTTTCTTGGTGATGATCACGTAGTTAAAACTGATTACTAATCTAAGCTGTGAATCCGTGATATTTAGGTGTGAAAAATTAGTAATTATTAGGTGTCTTAAAACACCTATTTAAATGGTAGTCAAAGTTGCCAGCAGTTCCGCGGTGATGATCTCGTGACTCAAACGGAATATTAATCTAAGCAGGGCATACGTGACTTTTAGGTGTGAAAAATTAGTCATGATTAGGTGTCTTAAAACACCTATTTAAATCGTAGTCAAAGTTGCCAGCAGTTCCGCGGTGATGATCGCGTGACTCAAACGGATTATTAATATAAGCTGGGTATTCCGTGTTTTCCATGTGTGAAAATGAGTTATTCTTGGGTGTCTTGATGGTTTCACAGTTACCATTTAAATTCCGTGGTGATAATCCCGTGACTGTTGGCATATTTCTATTTTCACCAGTTGATAACTGACTGTTGGCATATTTCATTGCACCAGTTGATAACTGGAGTGTGCATATTTCCAGTTTCACCAGATGATGACTGAGCGTTGGCATATTTCGAGCTGACACCAATTCATTTGCATATTGAATATGGGGTGCGTGCAGATCTATGTTTTTTAAACAATTTATCTGAATTTACAGCATATTTCTTAATTACTGATGATTTAGTTATATGCAATTCATTTCGAAAATACTACAAATATAAATTACCAGTTATTAGAGTTTCGCTACTTCGTATAAATAGTTAAACATGAATAAGGGAAACATTAACTGTGAACTAAAGTAATTTCAATAAAGTACAAGTATACGAATTTTTTTCGATTAACCCGTTCCTTCCGGGAACCTGGTATACCAGGCTCCCGTGGAGCCTACTCACAGACGGGAACCTGGTATACCAGGTTCCCATAATAGGCAGGTAGACGACGTCTTTACAAGCCTAAAATTGCCTTTCCCTGCCATTAATTCACTAAACTAGTGGATGTGAGGGTTTATCCAAAGTATATGCTATCATTATCCATTACTCCTGTTTTGTTTACTTTAATATTACTCATTATATTTGTACTTTTTCATAAGCATGTCAAGTTTTCTCTCACATGAAATTCGTACAGCAGCGTATTGGAGCTCCGCGATGTCTGTCCCACAGATATTGACTTTCGCTGAGACCTTCCATGCACAGAATACCAATACTGCTGGTCTTTCAATTGGGAGCAGCGCAAAGCCAAAGCCTATAACGGCACGCGGCACGCGCGGAACAATGCACTTCACTGCACATGAAAGGAAAATCCAAAGGTCAGCTCTCTATTGTCAACATCAACAAGCAGTATTATAAATCTAAAGCAAGATCGCGAGGTTGTACTCGATTTAGTCTCCGAAAACGAGTTTTGATCAGGTGTATGCTGGATTTATCATTATGACATTTTGTATCACCGACCCCCCCCCCCCCCCTCAAAGCTCAGATTTATTATTTAGTTTGTCTCTCTTTTTGTTTGTTTATATTTCCTGGCTAAAGTATGATGTCTGACGTATAGTAACGTCAATATAGCATAATATTAGATAGCTTAGACAGATACCGAGATGTGATTGGTCCAGAGCTCGTCACGTGATATCAATTGGGAGGATCCAAATTGTTATATTTTCCTGGCCGGTCACTTTTCGGTGTTATATTAACCAGCTGGTGAAATGAATATATTTTTAATCAATGCATGTCGCCCTCTTGAGGACTGTATGTCACCAATTACACACATTACACCATTACCGAGGGTCATTTAATTTTTTTTGTTCATGAATTTTTTTTTTCCCTTGAAATTATATTTCCACATTTTCTTTTTTTCCCCGAAAAATGCTTTTTGGGGTAAGAATTTTTTTTTTTTCAATTTTTTTTTCCTTTTTTTTCCCCCAATTTTTTTTATAATTTTTTTTTGTAAGGTTTTTTTTTTCTTTCTTGACTATCTCGACAGATATTTTTTCCGTAATTTCCGAAAAAAAAAGGGGAAAAAAAAATTTCGGGCAATTTTTTTTGGACCCCCCCCCCCCCCCCCCCAAAAAAGGGCTATCTAATATAACAGTTATTGACTGGCAGGGGGTATATAACATTCTTTGGACCTGAATGGAGTTATATTTCCCCTCGTGACCATATTTTCCCTCAGCGCTGCGCGCTTCGGGAAAATATAACCACTTGGGAAATATAACTCCCTTCAGCGGTCCAAAGAATGTTATATTACACCCCCTGCCAGTCAATAACTGTATAATAAACATTTTTGTATAGCAGTTTGATGTAACATAGATTTACATTCAAAAGTTTTACTTTTATAAGTATTGGACAGTAATATTCTTCTCATTTCGACTTTATCAGCCGCTCACTCTCTATAGCGTTCCCTTTACTAAGGTATATGTGAGAGGAGATATAAATTATTTGAGAAAGAGGGGGAGATAGAAAGTTATCTCCGATCCCCGCCCCCCCCCCCCCCCCAGCTCTGATTGTTTTTTCTTTTGTGTACGTTTCTTTTTTTGTTTGATTATTTCTTTTCGCTAAAGTATAATGTCTGACGTATAACATCAGGGATATGTTATAATAATTAATCTCAAGGAAAGGATGATGCCGGCATGCAAGTAAATGGCGGAATAGTAGACAACATCATGAAAGATGAAGATGGAAAACAACGTAGAAAGAGAGATAGAGAGAGAGAGAGAGACAGCGAGAGGGAGAGAGAGAGAGAGAGAGGAGGGTGGGCGGGGGCAGAATAGATAAAAAGTTTGACGTAGTCTGTTCTGTATTTATTATTATGATATTTTTCTCACCGACTACCCCCCCCCCCCCCACAAACCTCAAATTTTTTCTTTAGTTTTTCTCTTTTTTGTTTGTTTATATCTTTTGGCTAGAGCACAATGTCCGACGGATAATAGTACCGTTAATATAGCATAATAACAATTTGTTTATATCAGTTTGATGCAACAGAGATTTACATTCAAAGTTTTTATTTTGTATAAATATTGTACAGTAATATTCTTCTCATGTTGACATTATCAGCCGCTCGTTTTCTTTTTCGCTCCCTATAATAAATATAAGGTATAATAATGTACATCATCAGGGATAATTTTATGTTATAATAATTAATCTCAAAGAAGGAATGGTGCCGGCATACAAGCAAATGGCGGAACAACATTGGCAGATAGACGGAGAGACAGACGGAGAGAGAGGGAGAAAGTGGAGAGTTTGAGAGAGAGAGAGAGAGATAGAGAGAGGAAAGAGAGAGAGAGAGAGAGAGAGACACACATAAAGAGAGTGAAAAAGAGGAAAAAAAGAGATAGAAACAATCATTTCTCATCATCATCTTTTTGTCTGTTACATTTTAGCATATCATATATTCTTGTTCATTCCTTTATCTTGTATGATTGATATTATCTTTGAATGATTGCAAAAACAACAAGACCCCACTCCCCCCAAAACACACACAAAAAAACCAGGGTTATACATGTAGGATCATCAATGCTGTAAGCCAGGTCATTGTCATTCAATTATACCCTTACCTTACTTCCGCTCTTCTATTGTTGGGGTTTATAACCATGACAACAACCTTTACATCCGTCAACGTTCTTTGTTCCTCTTACGTAACTAAGTTGTGGGATCATGGGCCAAAGACAAAGATAAAGCTCTTTTCACATATTCTATATAGGTCCCAAATACCTGCAGACATTTCTGTGTCATTTGTATTTGTACGTACTTTGTCAATTCATACTTACAAACTATAATTGTCAAAATTTGCCAATATATTCATACATATTGATATTATATAGCGCCTTTACATAAAACATGATCAAAGCGCTTTACATTAGTAAATAAAACAGAATAATTATTTTGCTCTCTAGGCAATACTTCCGAACTATTTCGTTTCTCCTATATCATCTTCCGTTCTAGAATCCTATCTTGTTTATATTTATTTATTGTGTATGTGTCCTTGTCTCCCTCTCCATTATTCTTCTGTTTTTGAAAGAGAAAGTTTCATTCTTTCTCTTCTTTCTCTTATAATGTTATCCACCTACTTCTAGATGACCCTTTTGTGGTAAAGTATAATGTCTGATGTATATTATTTCCGTCGATATAATGAAATAATCATTTTATTTTGATGCAACAGAGACTTACATTCAAAATCAAAACTTTTACTTTCTATAATTTGTGTACAGTGATATTCATTTTGACATTATCAGCCGCTCGTTCTCTATTTTTTTCCCCTAGTATTTAAGATGTATGTTTTCATCATCATGGATATGTTATCATAATTTATCTCAAAGAAGGAATGATGCCGGCATACAAGCAAATGGCGGAACAACATTGACAGATAGAGAGAGAGAGAGATAGAACGTTGGACGTAGTCTGTATTGTATTTATTATTATACTAGTTGTCTATCTGATCAACCCCCCCCCCCCCATTCAGAATGTTTCTTTAGTTCTTTAAAACAAATTAAAAAAATTAAACAAAATTCGCTAAAGTATAATGTCCGACCAAGGAGTTATTTCCTTCGTCCGACGTATATTAGTTTTGTCAAAAAAGATTGTGTCATATTATTTTTTGCATAAGAGATGTTTTTATATCCAAACTCTTACTTTTAACAATTCTTATTTATTATGTCGAAACGTGCTTTCGGAAATCGTGGAACAGAAAACAGTATGAGAGAGATAAAGTATAATGAACGGTTTTTATAGAGTGAGAGAGAGAGAGAGAGAGAAAGTTGGGCGCATCGTTATATAGTCTGTACTGTATTTATTAGTATACTATTTTGGCTCTCCTTTCACCTCCCCCCTCTCCCCCCCCCCCCCCCGTTCTGGATTCTTCTTGAGTTTCATTTGATCATGTTTACATATTTTCGCTACATTATATTGTCAGACGTAAATTATAACAGTCAATTTTGGCTGATAAACTATTTCAATTAAATTTGATACAACAGAAACTTACATTGAAATAGTTTACTTTTTATATACTATGTATTTTCTCATAAAATCGAGTATCAAAATAAAAAAAGAGTATAGGAAGAAGGAAAAGAAGAAGAAGAAGGAGGAGGGATAAGAGTGACAAGGAAAAAATAGATACGGAGGAGAAAAAAGAAGAACAAAATAAGTAGGTAGAAGAGGAAAAAAGATAACGAAGAAAAACAACCTACAGTACGGAAGAGCTGAAAGAACTTAGAGCACGGCAGATTGCCAAATGATCTGCGCATGCGCTAAGTTCCTGCTCGTCGAAGCGACTGGCCAGGCTTTAGGTCGCTTTAACGCACACGCATTGTTCCGCGCGCTGAACAGTCGCACGGTATTGTACGGCAGCGAAGGAGTCGAGTTTTCGATTTTTAATCTCGTTTGTGGGGTGGCTATCAGGCTAAATAATTTCGGAAGGAACGGGTTAATTCAATTACGTAAGTCTACTTATCACCAATGCCCTTACATTGGAAATACAGACTTACCAGTAATGAAGTATTGTTGCTGTTCAACTGGTTGGAAGTTTTACCAAATGGTTCTAATGGCTCAGCTAGACCAGTTGAATTATAACTGGCCTGGATCAACTGGATCATTTAGCCCATTTCAATTTCCAGGGTTACCAGTTGGCATTAAATGGTTCATCAACTGGATCAGTTGCAACTAGCTTTCTCCTCTGGGATGTTTACACCCCCCCCCCCCCCACCCAACCCCCTCTAATCCCAAACTGCTTCCGGCGCGCCTGGACGTAATTATGGAAGATCCAAGACACGATGTTCAGAAACGGGATGAGAACGTCATTATTTTGGTTCATTTATTGTGTAACATTTGCGTAATTATTGGGTTTAACGCGGGTTACAGTAACATACTTCCTCTTCGACATAAATTTCACGTGAATGAAGAACATGATTCATCTCAAGTCAGTCTCGTAATATTCACGTGAATTTCACGCAGATATTTTGACTAAAACTATCACTAACGCTTCACGTGTTTCCGTGACGCGATAATTTCGTGTATGAAGATGTAATTTCATAACCAAACAAACACGGGAGTATTAGGTTTACAAACCATGGTCTCCAAGGTAGGGATAATCACGTTATTATAATGGTGATATTGCAGTGACAATTGCGTGATTTAGTGTACGTGTGTTTCAAGTTACCTAATGCAATAAACGTATCAACACATTTACGTAAATGTCCAGTGTTTGAAGAACGTAACTCTCCTCAAGTCGATACCTTGATATTGACGTGATTTTCACGTGATTTTGTTTATTGGGTTATGATTTTTTTTATTGCTAATATTATTATCATTTTATTTATTTCCATTATTATCATTAAACTTATAAGTATTATAATCATTATTATTAATATGATAATTATTATTATTAATGTTATAAATATCGTTAGTATTAATATTTCTATAAACATTTAAAATAACATAATTTCGTTTTAAAGACAATATTTATTAAATTGTGTATTCATTTGTTTGTATTCATCTATCCTCATTATCATCAATATTATGATACGATTATTTCGTGTTTTTATTGAAGTTTACAAGGGAAACAGAGGGCTATGAACTTATAGTACTATAATCATTTCGAAAGAAAAGCTCTATATCCGTACCGACATTCGTGGTAAAGAAATTTGTAATCACAAGTCCTAAAATAAACCCTTTTTTTTTCTTCAAAATTTAGGTTATCAAGAGGAAACAGGAGGAAACGTGGCTGTTTGCTTTTCATCTCAACGAAAAGGGTATTTTCTTTCTCTCTTCTTGCCCATCAACTTACTTTTGAACAGATAAGATAAGGAGATAGTATAAACATTTGGAGCAACTACTATGGTTTTGCTTTCATTTACATGCATGCATAAGCTATTCTGACCCGTGCGTATACTTGAAAATTAAGTTTTAGGTTTGGGCATGTGCAGGAAAGTAAAACAAACTTTAATCGAAATGATGTGTGAAAAATGTGAGCCAGTTAAATATATCGTTAAAAAATGACCCCGATCTAAATGCTAATCAATGAAAACAATCTCTCTGAAGTTTGCAGTTTCCTCCCACGGGAGTCGTCATTTTTAATTCAATAGCGCTTTCAAAATAATTGGAATAGTTATAGACAGAAAGGGGGAAATACTATAAAGAGGGAAATCACGAAGACCTAGGAGGGGAAATGGAGTTGAATGACACCGCAAGAGTGCACTAGATTGGCAGAAAAAAAAGATACCTTGATAGATTTCTACTTAACTCATAGCCTGCAATGAGGCTGTATGCACTCTACCTTAATAGTACTTTGTACATGCGAGAAAGCCATTGCTTCAGATGTATTTTCAATCGCATGAAATTGATGGGATTCTGGAAATGTTACTCTATAGATATTCTTTCATCATGAGCAGTTCTTACACTCCCTTTCACACACGCACACACACACACACCCACAAACACACACACACTTTATCTATTTCGATTGCAGGTAACCGGCCAGTTGTTGAGAACATATTCAGGCGACAATTAGATAGCGAAAAATGGAAGAACTCGCCCAAACCAAACATTCCCATTGACAGTGCTTTCAGAGTGAATCCTGACTATTCCTATGATTCTTCCCTTCAAGTGCAAATGATACTTCCACAACAACAAGACAGATTCATGAAGATCAAAAACAAGGAGGCGACCTACGTTCTGCGTAAAAGTACGTTTCTCAATGACTAACTAGTCTAGGCTTAAAGGGATAGTTGAGTTCTGTTGCTGAGGGCGCCACACAAAATAATTTGTTGTGAGATAATGAAAAACTGAGTGTTAAATTTGAAAGAACATACAATTTAAATGACAAAAAAAAAAAATCATCTTTGTTTGATCAAAATCGGTTCAGAGACGGCTGAAATATATAAATATAACATTTTCTAATACTTGAGTACCACCACAAATATTACATAATTTGAAAAAGCCGTTGACAAAATGAAATTACGCCTTTTACGTCGCAATCCAGCCAATGCCGATGTTGGCTTTTTGTTGGCTTTTTCATGTCAGTTATATTACGCATAACCAGCCGGCCCATGTACTGATATTTTTTGATTAAATAATTAATTAACTGTCACCGCATTTTGTTTAAGTGGAACCGAATTGGAATGATCGTATTGGCTAAATTTTACACATTTTGGGGTCTAAAATTACCTTCATAGCAATTTTAGGTTCTAAAAAGGCACTAGAAATGTCATAGATCAGAAACGGAGCAATAACCATGCACTTTGAAGGCATTTGCGGTCTGAAAACAGAACTCAACTACCCCTCAACGTTTCAAGGCATCGACCAATTTGTAAAATTACCCAACATTTAAATTGGTATTTTAAAACGATAGTGAACCGATGGACTTTGTGCCCTAGCATACTGTTTATTGCACAGTTTATGATCACATCGCCAACAGTGCGTGACACATTGCCTAATTACCACTTTGCAGACAGAGAACTTATAGGCGTTTTTTAGGATGTTTCCAGTTTTACAAATATGAAATGCATGGCCCTACGTTTTATCAGTGCCTATGATATGGTGTGATCTTGAAGCCCTACAGAAATTGCGCTTCAAAATGATGGTGAAGAGCCTGAAAAAAGTAAAAATCTTTGAGTGACCGGTTTTACAATATTCATTTTCCCCAATGGACTGTAGTGTTATAAAAATGTACTTTGAAACTTCGAATTTACTTTGCTTTACTTTGTTTTCAGTGGGTTTTGCTTATATGCGCAATTGTATCAATTATTTAGCTTATTGTCAATAAGTTAGAATGAGGAGGCTGTGCCTTCAAACTAGAATTATAGGTCTCATCAGCTTAGGCTAACCCTCATTTAGCATGATCTTCCTGTGACGTGACTTGCAGTAACCCGGACCTGTGTGCGTTACTTCTCTACGCAGACTCACGCCATCAAGCGATCACGTAATATAGAGCTTAGCTTTAGCAGTGAATCTTGAGCCCGCTGCCCACGCAATGTCATTTCGATTGCGCCATTCGATGCCATTCAGACTTATAATAATGCACAAAACATGTCTAAGTACGATCTCTTACTATAATTAATGAATTAATTGATTAATGGGCTTTTGTCTTCGTGTGGGCGAAGACCGATTCATAAGCCCGTTGCAAACGTGGTGTCATTTAGATTGAGCCATTCGATCGAGGACATTCAGGTGAATAATAATAGTGCACAGAACCGGTCCAAACCTGATTTCTTGCAAGAATGAATGAATTAATTAATTAATTATTGAGCTTGTTGTCTTCATGTTGGCAGAGACCGTGATTATCAATAAATACCAACGTATATACGGTAGTGAGGAGGGGGACGGTGTATGGGGAAATGGGAGAAGTGATGACGGTATTCCAGTCACCATCTCAACACCAGAATCGTCCGACAGCGATTCGGACAATGGAAGCGACTCCGATTGTGACAAAGATGATAGTCATCGGTGCATTGAGGGTGTCGATGTTGGTCCTCTCAGCGTAGTCGTAAGTTCACTGTTATTATCATCGTCATCATCATCATCATCATTATATTTAACAATTACAGTCATCATTATATGCCTACCCTTATCCCAATCATCGTTATCGTTTTATCGTTTTTTTCATCGTCTTAACTTCCATCACCATCACAAATATAATCGTAGTAAGAGTAAATAGGAGTAATAATAGTTTTATCAGTGATGACTATGAGGATAATAATAATGGTTATAACGGTAAAAATAAAATGATGATGATTATTTTGTTGTTGTTGGTTTCTCCACTAATAACATAAACTTACTTTCATTCCCTCCTTGATTCGACAGACCTTTTGGTTTCTACACTAATACGATAATTTTACTTTCATTACCTCCTTGATTCGACAGGACTTCCCTCGCTACATGACGCGTCGTGGTAAAAAGATCCTGCAAAATAACATGTTCTTTATCCAGTCCTTTCTCGATAATGGAGCATCTGTATTTAAGGCTGCCAACACAGAAGAAGGTAAATAGTTGACTTGTATTGTGTGTGTGTGTGTGTGTGTGCGTGTGAGGGGGGGGGGGTCGTTGGAATTTGTAGGGGAACACCCCTTTTAAGCGTGCGTGTGTTTGTGAGGATGGGGGAGGGGGGGACACCTCCAAATATAAACATTTGTTGGCATTTGTCTGGGGCTGACTCCATCCTCTTAGTACAAACATGGAGATCATTTGTGGAGCGGAGCACAGAGGGGAATACTCCCTCTTTCAAATAAAAGAGTGTGCCGGCTTGTAGTGCAACAAGACCCCCTCCTCCCGAAATACAGAAAAACAAATTCATACAATCTTGTTAAGGATCCTCAATGTATATATTGCAACGGGAAGGGACGGGTGTACGGGGAAGGGGAGAGTTGATGTGGTTTGACACATTCTGAAAAAGAATTGGCAAGTTATTTTTTTATTCCATTTTCCTTTTTTAACTTCTTGAAAACAATGATATCCGTTTCGTTAATTTGAAACCTTTACAAGCAAATGTTGGTTTGCTTGTTTTTTCATAGTCTGATTTTCTTGGCTACAGACCTGCTGGATCACATCGTCATTTAAGCCTAAAACGCACACTATACGATTTCCCTGTCATCCGATTTTAGAAGAAATGACAATAATATATAGGTTTACAAATCTAAAGAAACAAGATATTCTTGTTGAAGGCTCTTAAAAGGGATTTTAAAAAGCCGAATTGATTTAAAATCGTAGAGAATCGCACTACTGGCATGACGTCACTACGATTGTGAGCCGATTGAATTATTCCTCCTCCAAAAATGCGTGAATTCCATCAGAATTTTGATTATAAAAATCATCGATCACTCAGAATTAAGAAGTTGAAGTGTTCATAGTAAATGCTATTGCAAATTGTGCGGTGGGTATTACAGTGTTTATAAACATCATTAATGACTGTATGACGCGTTTCTATCTCATTGTAGTATTAATATTACATTACTATTATTATCGCCACTCTCTTCTTCCGCTCCTTTCTGCCCTCCCCCTGTCTCTGTCACACCTACACCCACACTCTCACCCTCCCACACACACCCTGTCCAACCCTCTCACGGCACGCACTTTCTGTCTCTTTCTTTCTTTATCCCTCCCCCCCTCTCTCTCTCTCACATACACACAAACACACACACACACACACACACACACTGTCAAACCCTCTCATGCCACCCACTTTCTGTCTCTTTCTTTCTTTATCCCTCCCCCCTCCCTCTCTCTCTCTATTATCTTCAATGTATCTCCATCTCCCCCTCTCTGACTATCATTCCCCGCCACCCTCTTTCTAATATGTTTTCTGCGTCTCTCCTCTCTTTCGGACAGAACTATACATATCATACGACAACAAGTATCCCATGCTTTGGATTGCAAGTCTGGATACATCGTCTCCCAACTTCCGTATTAAAGTTGACGACAATGTTCTGAAAACAAGAGAAGATTTTCTCAAACTATTCAAAGCCCGAGACAGCTAAATCCACAATCAATCAGAGTGTCTTTAATTGTTGGAAAAATTACATCAACCGATACTTCACGGCCAAAAGCTTACGCCCACTTACTAACCCTTGACCTTGACTATATAGCCTTTGACCCTAAGTGTCAGGGGCGGCGATTTCTTTTCATGACCGGGGGGGGGGGACGAAATGCGAGGGAAATCTGTACTCCGTTGGTATCACGGTGATACCAACGCAATACAGATTTTCTAAAATATTTTCCTGTACATTTTGAAGGATGTTATGCGAGGAAGCGTATAGCGACCAAGCGCGAAGGATTTTGCATGTTCATTAGTCTAAACGTTGCACACTTGGTCCCTCCACAGCCTATAGTGTGTTGCACTTTTTATTGCACTTTTTTCAAATCTTACGGGGGGGGGGGAACGATCCCCCAAAAAAAAGTTGAAGGGGGGACGTTGAATAAACCTTCTGATTATCAAATCAGTCAACTCGAACAATAATGGCTTATTAATCAGTTACTGAACCTACTAAACATATCTTTTTCAAATAATTACACATACATAGTAACCAACCGAAGCTTTAATATTCACGTTTACATGTTATAAGGGTAATTAAATGTACGTTGGCGTAAATCTTGCGTGTTTGACGATTCTGCTTTTTTTTTACCTCGCTAACTCAACATTATTCACATTTAATTGTATCTGTTAATGTCATCTGTTTATACAATGTTTATATATATTGTTCTGTTTGTTTATATACTTAGCCGAATAGTTTTGTTAATTCATGGGACTACATTTAACTAACACTAATGCTCTTCGTAGACCCCTCCACATTTCCCAATGAGTTGTTTTAGTTCTCAATCTGTTCGTATGTTCACCATTCTCTGTAATTTGTTTATCAAATCTCCAATCAAAGAAAGTATCTATCACAAACTCGAAAAATTTGTAGAATATAAATGAATGAATAAATGAATGAATGATAATAGAATATTTGATAAAGATAAGAACATTTTAAACAATTAGACGTTATACAAGTGTGTAGAAGGTAATATACAAGTGTGTAGAAGGTAATATACAAGTGTGTAAAAGGTAATATACAAGTGTGTAAAAGGTAATATACAAGTGTGTAGAAGGTAATATGCAAGTGTGTAGAAGGTAATATACAAGTGTGTAGAAGGTAATATACAAGTATGGAGAAGGTAATATACAAGTGTGTAGAAGGTAATATACAAGTGTGTAGAAGGTAATATACAAGTGTGTAGAAGGTAATATACAAGTGTGTAGAAGGTAATATACAAGTATGGAGAAGGTAATATACAAGTGTGTAGAAGGTAAATTAAGAATGCCACTCCCAGATCAGTGCGTTAGAAGAATAAATACTGCGCATGACTAGCTTTAGGATAGTACAATTGCACTTGTTAAAGATAGAGGTGAGTTATGGTCATCCGATTGCATTGTGAAAGAAAAAGTTGATCATGTAGCATATAAGTATTGGTGTGTACTGCAAAGTTCTAAGGTCATCAAAATCAAAATATAAATTTGGCCCAGTCTTGGTAAAGTAACAAGCACTGTACACAGAAAGACGTATATGGGATTACACAAATGGTGTCGGGGTAACTAACCTTAATTTCCTAATCTGTCTATGCTCAGCCAGTATACATTTTCCACCAAAATTGTTTGGCAAATGACATGTATTTGTAATCTTGAACATTCAGTGAAAGTTTCGTTTGATTCTGAGAGAATTAATTTTCTCTGTTTTTAGCCAGAACCCACCTTTATCTTTAAAGGTTACGAAAGTGATATCAAACTAGACTTAAAATTGACATATGAAATAAACATCGGAAGAATACTTGGAACATGTCACAGCGTCATCACTCACTCTTTCTGTCAAATATATTCAAGAATTGATGAAATAAAGTTGGTGGCCTTTTTTTTTGTAAACGTTCAGTTGTTGCGTTTGTTTTATTGATAGGTAAAAACTTAACGTAATGAAGTCAAGGATTGTTTTTTTTTGGGAGAGGTAACTACTTCAGACAACCAGGGTGATTAGTTGAAGATTATATGATGAATGTTCTACATGCGAACCTTTTACATGATATGTCTGGCATCATCATGCTTATGGGTCCATGACCGACTATACTATATGAAAAGTGAACAGACGTTAGCCTACCAGGGCCCTGCTTCCTGTAACTTGTTATCAATAAGAGGTTACATTAATTGTTATACGCTTCTGAAATCGTGGCATTCGATTGGCTGAGAGCAAAATTTGTCATAGAAAGTTAGCATTTGTTATTAATAAAGAGTTTTAAGAAACAGGGACCTGTTCTCTATGAAAGTCTGTAGCCTTCGGCGCTAGAGCAGTATTACACCCGTTCGGCTTGCACAAAAGTATTAAAGTGAGAAAATTAATTGAATGTATCAAATGAGATGCATTGCATATGCTTTTTGCAGAACCAAATTCAAATACACACACACACACATATGTTATTTGATGGTTGTCATTTGATATTTGATATGTGTGGCATGATTAATTTTATTAGGGATGTTAATGGAATCTACAAAGACCGAATTAATGACCGGCCCAATCCCATTTGTTTTATTCCAACAGCTCATCAGCAATACTTTGGCCGAAGATTTTTGCACTCTCTTAAAAAATGTCTCCTACTCACCCAAACTTGAACACATACCACACACAAATGATACCAAATGATTGGGGATAAAACACTCTTTTATATAATAGATACTAACTTACTGTTCATAGATGATTTTTATAATAGTTAGCAATTTTCTAGATGTAACCTGTTTTTTTGTACTCACACTGTAGAGTAGTTTGCGGTCAAGGCTGGATTTACCTTTAATGCACAGGTCAATAAATAAATAACACGCTTCTACTATGTACAGTCCTTCTCCAATTCATGTAATTATATTGAAATCGATAATTTTAAGATTTATCCGCATCTTTATACAAACAAAAAAAACCATTTTTGAAATCATTTTAATTTAAAAAGTTTTCGGAGACAAGAAAAAATAATACAGACACGAGCATGCAAATCAATCTAGACTATAGAAATGTGTTTGGCATTGATATTAAAGTAATTAACACACTTATATCTAAAACTTGGAAAATACTTGTTTATTATCATTCCAAACCATTTATTCATCTAAATCTTTCTTTAGTTGTTCAAATCTTCATCCATTCATTCGTTTATTTGTTAATTTGTTTGTTATTTCTATTCATTCGAATTGTTTTCGAAGTTAAATAATGTCTAAATAATCTTTAAATCATGTTCATGTATAATTTAATCTACAACCCAGCGTAAGAACCACTGTAGCACATAATACTTTAATTACAAAAGTTAAATATTTATCAATAGATTTAAGGTAACCAATTCAATCAAATTAACTCTTCCATAAGTCCCACATTCATGAATAAGCCTTTGTGAAGCGCTTTGATACGAATGTTTTCATTCAGCAGTTACAAATAATGTACCCAACAAGTTGAAACATTTTCATAGTATCTCTTTTTATAAAAGGATTGTTTTTGTAAATGGTTTATTCTTGAAAGATTAAGTTTTATATTCTCAGAACTTAAGTTTGATTCATCTTAAGGGTCACAGAAATTACAATTATTTTATTGAATTACATCAGAAAAAATTCTTCCAATTCTATAGGCGACAGTGTATACATGTATATATTACATATATAACCCTACATGGTACATTAAGTGGACATCATACAAATCCTAACCCTAACTTTAACCCTAACCCTAACCCTAGCCCTAATGTCTACCTAATGACACATTTTTTCACTTCTTATGTCCCTCCAATGACGCTTTTAATGAAATTATATAGAGAGAGATATATAAACAAATTGGGCCTTCTAACAAACGTTAAGAAGACACTATATTGTCCTCCTAATGATAATGTCTACTTAATGACTACATTTTTCACTCCAAATGTCCCTCTAATGATGCCTTGAGTAAAATATATGTAATATATATACGTATATATATATATATACGTATAAATACATTTCAATATAAAACTAGTTCTGTCAACGTTATTTAAGCCTATTTGTGTTTGATTATTTTGTTTTCGCTACTTTG